ATCACCATCGGGACGCCATCATCATCAACATCACCATCACCACCATCAGAAAAATCATCATCATCGGGACGCCATAATCATCATCATCATCATCAACATCATCATCATCGGGGCACAATCAAAATCAACATCATCAACATCATCATACTCATCATCATCGGGGCACCATCATCGTCATCACCATGATCATCAACATAATCGTCCTGATCATCATCATCCTCCTCAGCATCGGAACACCATCAGCATCATCATCATCAGCATCGTCATCATCATCATCGATACCACCATCATCATCCCCATCATCATCGGGACACCACCATCATCAGATCTACTACTACTACTACTACTACGACGACGACGACGACGACTACTACGACTACTACTACTACTACTACTACTACGGCTACGACTACTACTGTTACTACTACTTCTACAAACGCGACTACTACGAAAACCAGTACTGCAACAACTACTACGTCGCGACGACGACTACCACTATCACTACTCTGGCTACAGCAACTAATGTTACAACTGCGAATACGACGAAAAGTGCGACGACTAGAACTGCGCCCCCCATTGCGACTACGACTACGACTACAAATATAACATCTATTCTATTACTACAACTACAACTATGGCTATGGCTACGCATACTGAGGCTACTACTGCGACGGCAACTAAAACTGTGGCTGCGACTACCACTACTACTAGTCCTACTACTACTACGCCTACTACTACTACTACTACTACTACTACTACTACTACTACTACTACTACTACTACTACTACTACTACTACTACTACTACTACTACTACTACTACTACTACTACTACTACTGCTACTACTACTGACTACGACGACTACTGTACTATACTACGACTACGACGACTACTACTACTACTCGAGTACTCTACTACTCTACTCTATGCTTGCTGCTGCTACTGCTGACTACGACTGATTACTGCTTACTAATGCGGCTACTTCTACTACTACACTACTACTACTTACGACTACACACTACCTTACTACTATAACTACTACTACTAACTACTACTGCTACTACTCCTATACTCTACTCTCTACCTACTACCACGACTACTACTACTACTACTACTACTACGACTACTACTACGACTACTACTACTACTACTACTACTACTACTACTACTACTACTACTACTACTACTACTACTACTACTACTACTACTACTACTACTACTACTACTACTACTACTACTACTACTACTACTTACTATTACTACTCCTACTACTGCTACTACGACTACTACTCTACTACTACTACTACTACTACTACTACTACTACTACTACTACTACTACTACTACTACTACTACTACTACTACTACTATACTACTACTACTACTACTACTTACTTACTACTACTAATTACTACCACTATTACTACTACTACTACTATTATACTACTACTACTCCTACTACTACTACTACTACTACTACTACTACTACTACTACTACTACTACTACTACTACTACCTACTACTATTACTACTACTACTACTACTACTACTACTACTACTACTACTACTACTACTACTACTACTACTACTACTACTACTACTACTAGTACTACTACTCCTACTACGACTACTACTACTACTACTACTACGACGACGACGACTACTACTACTACTACTACTACTACTACTATCACAACTACGACTACGACTACTACTACTACTACTACTACTACTACTACTACCACTACTACTACTACTACTACTACTACTACTACTACTACTACTACTACTACTAATGCTATTCTTTCTGGGAGGTCAATGGCTTCCCAATGGCCGGTGTATTTCCAGACGTGCAGTAAGCTAAATCACGTTCGACAAGGACAACCACGAACAATGTCCTCACCAGAGAATATGTACTCAGATCCCTGCATCAAGGAACTGCTGGTACGGAGCCATGATTTCGGAATCTGCGCTCCAGTTCCTATACGGAAGGCACCCATTTCAAAATGATATGTACTGAAAACTGAAAGGCCCTTCGCGCAATAATACATACTCAGAAATCGTTCCTCGGAAACCCGCAGTGACGAATCCTCAATCAGGAATCTTCCACATGCAGACCATTACGAGGGGGTCATTGGTCAAGGAACCCTGACTAGAGATTCTTCACCAACGGAACCCTGACAGAACAAGTCCTGAACACAAAATCCTGACTCAAGAAACCTGAGTCGAGAATTCGAACCAATGAACCGGACCCCTTGCTAAAAAACTATGTGGCAACGGAGTCCTTGCCAAGAGCCACGGGTAGAGAACGGTCACCACAGGAAGATCATGTTTGGAGGAACAGAAGACCTCAGGATTGAGAAACCACCTTGCTACAGGAACCCTTTTCCAAAATCAGCCGCTCCGGAAAAAGCGTGGGCTTCGGCTCGCTTGAGCCTCGCTCTGGAAAGAAGGTGTGGGGGGGGGGGTCGGGGCGTGTCCCGTGTTTGGGAGGGGGCTGGTCTCGCTCTCGATCGGCGGGAGTGGGGGCGGCTGTGTCCCGTCCTCCGGGGGCTGAGCCCTGGAAATGGAAGGGGGGCCACCATGTCCCGCTTTCGGAGGGAGGGGGTCCTGGCTTCGCTCTGGAAAGGACGGGGGGGGGGGGGCGTGTCCCGCGGCCGCACCCAGACCTCCAAGAAACGCAACTAGCCTGGCGAAGGACCCAAGCATACGCAGTTGTGAATACCGCAATTGTGAATACCATCTTCGCCCGCGCTCCCTATGTAGACACGGATTCCCGCCAGGGCCCGACATGCTCAGGGACACGTCGTCTTCGCGGGCGCCGACGACGACGAGGACGGCGTCCCACTGACCGAGGAGCAGAAGCAGGAGAGGGCTCTGAGAGCCATGAAGGAGGCTGCCACTGGCGCCTTCGGTGGAGCTCCTATGGGGCCACGATCCTCGTGAGAGGTGTGCCGAAATGGCCCGAGGCATCTTGGCACCATCTTGGGCTGTCTTGGACCGTCTTAGGGCCCTCTTGGGCAGTCCCAGGGCCTCTTTGGGAGCTCTTGGGGCCCTCTGGCTACCTCTTGGGGGGCCCTCGGAGCGCTTTTGGGGTCCCCTGGGGGGCCTTCTCAGGAGCTCTCTCGGGTCGTTTTGAAGCCCTCTGGGAGCGACTCCCAGACAATGCTGGTTCGGAGTCCTCTCTGGAGCCGATTTTTGAACTTCCTGTGCGAAACGGCTATTGTCCCAGAATCTGCCAGCGAGGTGCCTGGTGCGGCCCGCATCCTTCAATCAGAGAAAAGCCGACTATACCCCGAATCCAGCGGTGCACGTCAGAGGCGCTTCCCGTCACCTGGGGGGTGCGCCCGAGCCCCACAGCAACCAAATTCGAAGAAAAACAATACTTGGAGAGCTGGATTCGCAGCCGGGAACAGCTGTCCTGGGGATACACAGGGCAGCTGTCCCCACGATCCCGGGGCGGGCGTCCCTGGGAACCCCGGGACGGGTGCCTCCAGGGTCGCGGAGACAGCCGATTCCAAGCTCCCGTCCCGAGGGCCAGCCAGCAGGCAGCCAGCAGCAGGCAGCAGCAGCAGCAGCAGCAGCAGCAGCAGCAGCAGCAGCAGCAGCTTGCCTCTGAGCCTCTTCTGGTCTTCTGGGCGCATTCATTTCTAATTCTAGTCGTTTGCAATTCCGACCGCGATTAAAAATTATCCCAGTGCGACCCTACCTAGGAGTTGGAGGATCTATGAAAGCAACATCTAACATCTATATGAAGCTAAGCTAAGATGAAGCTAAGCTAAGATGAAATAACACCCATGCTATGCTATGCTACGTTATGATATGCTATGGTGTAGTCTGCTATGGTAAAGCTCAGCGAAGCTAAGATGTAGGGAAGCTAAGCTAAGATAAAACGGAGGTGAGATGAAGCTAAGCTAAGGTAAGATGAAATAAGCTAAGCTAAGATGAGATAAGCAACGCGAAGCTAAGGGAACGTCACTAGGGGAACCGCGGGGCGGATACTGGGGGAACCGCCCGGGGCGTGCCCCACTGCCCGGCCCTTTAAGCCTAATAATAAGAACCCTTCTAGGCAGAGCCTAGGTAGGGAAAAAACTGTGATGCTGAGGCGAGGGGGACGTTCACCACACGCAGTAGAAATAGGTGCTCTGTATGGCACTGCCACGAAACACTGCAACGTGCGCGGTGGCAGTGTACCCCTATCACGCCACACGCGTACGCACACGGATATACAAGAGTAGGCACGTACCGTAAAATTTGCCACCGTGCCTGCAGCACGTTGAGGCTTGGAAGAATGCCAAGGGCTGCCTGGCAGGGTTTCTGTAGTTTTCTCAGGGACCCGCCCAAACCCCGGGGCCACGCCCACCTCACTGCACCGCCCCTACTCCCGGGGGGTCCCTAGGCGGCCATGGCGCCTCCCTGGGGCTCTCCAAGGCTCCCCTTGGCTGCCAATGAGGCCCCCAAGACAATCCAAAAGGGCCCCGAGTCGCCGAACAGCCTCACGATGGCCCAAGACGCCTCCCAGACGCCCCAAGGCGCCTCCAAGAGGCCTCCCAAGAGGGATCCAAGAGGCAACACACAGTGATGGTCCGATGGTTGTTTCAAGGATTTGGCGCTCTCGCCTTTAAGGCTTTCCGACGCTCCAAGACGGCCCAAGAGGCCCCCCATGACCACCCCAAAATAGCCCAAGAGGCCTCCAATAAGGCCCCAAGACGGCCTAGGAGCGCCAAAAAGCGGCCCCAGAGGCACCCAAGACGGCCCGAGACGGTCCCAAACGGGGCCCAAGAGAAAGATCACGAACAGAAAATCCGAGCCTTCCGCCACAAGAGGCCCCCAGGAGGCCCCCAGAAGCGCCGAAGAGGCCCCAAGAGGTCCCCAAGAGGCCCCAAAGATGTCCCAAGAGGCCCCGAAGAGGCCTAAAAAACACCCTAGAATGGCTCCAAAGAGGCCTCAAACTGCCTCCAAGAGGCCCCCGAGAGGCTTCCTACGAGATCCAAACGAACATCCCATAGGCCTATAACCCACAACCCAGGCACGCTGGCGGGACTTGCCGTGCGCAGCTGGGAAATGCACTTGGAATGTGGGTTCAAGCGAGCAGCGGTAGGAAGAGAGATATATAATTCCACTTGGCGGAGCAACAAATTCTGGACTGGGCTACGCTCTTCGTGGCGTAACTAGAGGCAAACTGCAGAGAGGCGAGCGGTACAGCTGTCAGTACCACAAACGTAACGTTGACATTCACAGCAACTCGTGTTCATCTTCCTGTGAACAGCTCGTGTTCATCTTCCTGTGAACAGAGAGAATCAAAATTGGATGATATGCCTGGCGAAGTGGCATTTGGCGCGAGAGAACCCGGAGAACTTAGTTCCGGAGAACCCATGTGCAAAAATAGGAGGTGAGAGACCTTAGCTCTAGACTCGGTGGGGGCGGGGTCATTGGGCGAATGTGAAGCCCTCCAAGTTCGAAACGGAACTGTGCTCATCCCAGCTCTATTCCGCGCATCCTCCTCGTCATCATTCCTCATATGCTCGTCCTCATCCTCCTCCTCCTCCTCCTCATCCTCATCCTCATCCTCCTCGTCATCATCATCAGCATCGTCGTGAGCAGCATCATCATCACCATCTTCATCTTCATTCTCATCATCACCATCATAATCATTAGCATAAACAGCTTCATCATCATCATCATCATCATCAGCATCATCATCATCATCATCATCATCAGCATAGTCATCATCATCATCACCAGCAGCAGCATCATCACCATCATCATCATCATCATCATCACCACCACCACCACCACCACCACCACCACCATCATCATCATCATCATCATCATCATCATCATCATCATCATCATCATCATCATCATCATCATCATCGTCATCAGTGGCAGTTTTAAGCCAGCGGGTGACGGTATTTCGGTGGCAGTTTTACACCAGCGGATTAGGATAGTTCGGTGGCAGTTCTAAGCCAGCGGGTGAGGATCTTTCGGTGGCAATTTCAAGCCAGCGGGTTCGGATGTTTCGGCGGCAGTTTAAGCCAGCGGCTGAGGATATTTCGGTGGCAGTTTTAAGCCAGCGGGTGAGGATACTTCGGTGCCAGTTTTAAGCCAGCGGGTGGGGATATTTCGATGGTAGTTTTAAGCCAGCGGGTGAGGATAGTTCAGTGGCACTTTTAAGCCAGCGGGTGAGGATATGTCGGTGGCAGTTTCATGTCGGCGGGTGAGGATATGTCAGTGGCACTTCTAAGCCAGCGGGAGAGAATCTTTCGGTGGCAGTTTTAAGCCAGCGGGTGAGGATATTTCGGTGGCAGCTTAAGTCAGCGGGTGCGGATATTTCGGTGGCAGTTCTAAGCCAGCGGGTTGGGAGACTTCGGTGGCAGTTTTAAGCCAGCGGGTGACGATATTTCGGTGGCAGTTTTAAGCCAGCGGGTGAGGATATTTCGGTGGCAGCTTAAGTCAGCGGGTGCGGATATTTCGGTGGCAGTTCTAAGCCAGCGGGTTGGGAGACTTCGGTGGCAGTTTTAAGCCAGCGGGTGTCGATATTTCGGTGGCAGTTCTAAGCCAGCGGGTGAGGATATTTCGGTGGTAGTTTTAAGCCAGCGGGTGAGGATACTTCGGTAGCAGTTTTAAGCCCGCGGGAGAGGAGGAGGGGGAGGAGGAGGAGGAGGAGGAGGAGGAGGAGGAGGAGGAGGAGGAGGAGGAGGAGGAGGAGGAGGGGGGAACCGAGGAGAGCTGTGCTCGGCGCGGGCATCCAGCCGCCACGCGATGCATCATTCGCTTGGTTGGCCCAGCCGACGGCTACGCATCCAGCGAGGTGCTGCGCCCGATGATATGCTCGCCCCTTGGCGTGGGGCTGGCGGGGGGCCAAGGGGCGAGCTGTCCGGTGATTTCTAGGTTAGTGGCTTGGTGAGGATAGTCCTCGTCCAGCGATTCTGTCAGAACTTCTACGGAATCATGCCTTTTAAAACTGAGAGTGTTCATTGGCGTTGGCATTCCTGTCCAATTGTGCTCTGGCTCTCCCCCGAAATCCTCCCAACCACCGTCCCCGCCCTTCGTCACGAGCTCCTCACCACCCTCCTCATACTTCCCGCCTGCCCCCCACCCACACAACGACACGGACAGATGTTCAAACGTCGGCGGCGTGGTGAACACCAACAACGCGGTAACATCAGGAGCCCCTGAAAATTGAATTAAGAAGGGCGACCCTGAGGGTGCAGCAACGATCCCGGTATAAGCAAGAATCGACGTACATCGGGAACGAGCGCCGTGAAAGGGGGGGAAGCATGCGGCATGCACAACGTGGGATAAGCAGCAACGCGATCCGAGTCACCGCCGCGCTGAAGCACCAGGGGCGAAGGGCAGGGGCAGCACCAGGGGCGAGGGCAAGGGAAGGAAAGCAGCCTCACTCAGAACGCACGCCGAACACACACCACACACACTCCTCACCCTGTTCACCTTCCTCATTCTTCACCAGAGGTTTAAGAGAACCGTTGGGGATGAATGAAAAGGGTCGGGGAAGAAGGGGAGGGAGAAGGAGGAGGCGAGAGGAAGAGAAGGTTTGGAGAGGTGGCTGAGCAGCGTTGCGGATGGGGGCTTGAGTTGATGGTTGAGAAGGCTGTGGATGGAGGATACCGGGGAGGAGCCGACGGCAGGATGACAGTAAAGGAGGATACGGATGAGGAGGGTAAAGGAGAATTGACGAGGAGATGACGCGGAGGTTCGAAGACGAGCATGTAGGAAGCTTGATGCGGAGGGTAAGAGAGCAGTTGAGATAAAGGCTGAGGGAATGGGGTGTAAATGAGAGGTCTGACGAAGAGAGGTAATGAGGAGTGTTGGGGAGAAGGATTGCAGAGGACGGTTGGCGAGGCATGCTCTTTCCCGACCATCCTGTGGTCTTGGGTCCTCGCTCTGAAGAGAGAGAACGCCCTGCATTCCTTCCATATTCCTCCTTCCTCCTCCTCCTCCTCTCCTCCTCCCCCCTCCTCCCTCCTCCCCTCTCTGTCTCGCTCTCCGCATGCCCATTCCATTCCGGCACAACCCCTCACACGCTTCGTGGCCCCATGGTGAGCTCCACCGAAGGCCCCAGTGGCGGTGCCCTCACGCGCCCCCGCCACCCATGTCCGCACACCCTTCACACGTTTCGTGGCCCCATGGTGAGCTCCACCGAAGGCCCCAGTGGGGGTGCTCACATGCGTCCCCATCACAGATTTCGGCACACCCCTCACATTCTTCGTGGCCCTATATCGAGCTCCACCGAAGGCCCCAGTGGCGGTGCCCACATGCGCCCCCGCCTCCAATTTCGGCACACCCCTCGCACACATCGTCGACCCATAGGGAGATCCATCGAAGGTCTCAGTGGCGGTGCCCACATGCGTCCCCGCCACTCATGTCGGCACACCCGTCACACGTTTGGTGGCGCCATAAAAGGGGTTCCACCGAAGGCCCAGGTGGCGGTGCCCACATGCGTCCGCGCCACCCATGTCGGCACACCCGTCACACGCTCAGTGGCCCCAAAGGGAGCTCCACCGACGGCCCCAGTGGCGGTGCCCAAAAGGGGGCTCTACCGAAGGCCGTGGTGTCGTTGCCCACATGCGTCCCCGTCACCCATGTCGGCACACCCCCCCTTACACGCTTCGTGGCCCCCTGGGAAGCTCCACCGACGGCCCCAGTGGCTGTGCCCACATTCGTCCACGCCACTCATTTCGGACCCCCCCCGCACGCTTCGTGGACCCATAGGGAGCTCCATCGAAAGCCTCAGTGCCCACTTGCGTCCGCGCAACCACTCTCAGCACACCCGTCGCAAGCTTCGTAGCCTCACAGGGAGCTCCACCGACGGCCCCAGTGGCGGTGCCCACATGCGTCCCCACCACCCATGTTGGCACGCCCCTCACACGCGTCACGGCCCCAAGAGGGGGCTCTACCGAAGGCCGTGGTGGCGATGCCCGCATGCGTCCCCGTCACCCCTGTCGGCACACCCTTCACACGCTTCGTGGTTCCATAGAGGTCTCCACGGAAAGCTGCAGTGGCGATGCCTACATGCGTCCCCGCCACCCATCTCAGCACAGCCCTCACACTGCTCGCGGCCCCATAGGGAACTCCACCGAAGGGCACAGTGGCGGTGCCAACATGCGCGACCGCCACCAATGTCGACACACCCCTTACACGCTTGGTGGCCCCATGGAGGGGTTCCAACCCTCACGCGCGTCATGGTTCCACAGGGAGCTCCACCGACGGCCCGAATGGTGGTGCCCACATGCGCCGCCGACGCTGATTTCTGCAAAGCCCGAGTGGCGGTGCCCACATGCGCCCCCGCAACAAATTTCGGCACACCCCTCATACGTTGCGTGCCCCCACAAGGAGCCCCACCGAAGGCCCCAGCGGCGGTGCCCACATGCGCCCCTGCCGCCCATTTCTACGCACCCCGCACACGTTCAGTGGCCGTATAAAGAAGGTTCCACAGAAGGCGGTGCTGACAACTGCGCTACTCACAAATGCATAGAGTTGGGTCACTCGCAAGGCTAAGTTGTTGCTTTTGCGTTGGGGTTCCTTGTAACTGTCCCACCAATATTGTGGTGTGGGGCCCTCGGTTTGAAGAGACATCGCCCCGCGTTCCTCTCTTCTCCTCCTCCTCCTCCTCATCCTCCTCCTCCTCCTCCTCCTCCCTCTCCTTCCTCACATCACCCCCCTCACTTTGACACACCCCTCACACACTTCGTGGCCTCATAACCTGGAGAATTATCCCAGTGCGACCCTACCTAGGAGTTGAAGCAGTTAGGAAAGCAACATCTACATCTACACCAACAGCTACATGTGCATATACACCTGCATCTACATCTACATCAACATCTACAGCGAGACTCACATATACCTCTGCATCTACACCTACGCTCGGCTGCGCTGTGTTGTGCTATGCTATGCTATGCGATGCTATGATGCGTTATAGTTTGCTATGCCATGCTATGCTGCGCTATGATATGATATGCTATGTTATGACAGACTGCGCTATGCTTGGCTATGCTAGGCTATGATATGATATACTATGCTGCGCTATGCTATGCTATGCCATGATAGGATGTGATATGATATGATGCGCTATGCTACGATATGTCATGTTATGTTATGATATGATGTGTTGTGATATGGTATGATGCGATGTGCTATGCTAAGCACTGCTATGCTATGATATGGTATGGTGTGCTGCGCTATGGTATGGTATGATATGATATGCTATGCTATGATATGCTAAGCTATGATATGTTATGTTATGATGTGTGTGGCTATGCTATGCTATGATATGATGAGCTAATGCTGCGCTGCGTTATGCTGCGCTGCGCTAAGCTAAGGTAAGTCCAGCTAAGCGAAGCTCAGCTAAGCCAGACGAGGCTCAGCTAAGCTACGTTAAGCTAAGCCAAGCCAAGCTAAGCTAAGCTTAGCTGAGCTGAGCTAAGCT